AAAGCAAGCCTTTTTATTATTCTTAGCTCCTTAGTTATATGGCAATGTATAGAACAAGCATTTCTAGGTTGCATGTGGTGGCTCACGCCTGTAATCCCAGCATTTTGGGAGGCCGAGGTGGGTGGACCACCTGAGGTCAGGAGTTTGAGACCAGCTTTGCCAACATGGTGAAAACCTGTCTGTAATAAAAATGCAAAAATTAGATTGGCATGGTGGCAGGCACTTGTAATCCCAGCTGCTTGGGAGGCTGTGGCAGGAGAACTGCTCGAACACGAGAGGCAGAGGTTGCAGTGAGCCGAGATCATGCCATTGCACTCCAACCTGGGTGACAAGAGCAAATCTCTGTTTCAAAACAAACAAACAAACAAACAAACAAACAAACAAACCTCTAAAGCTAGGTAAGGCAATGAGATGAGCAGCAGAGGAAGGATTAAAGTGTGTTAGGCAAATGGAAGCTACAGGATTTGGTTCTGGATAGGAGTTAAGGATGATACCCATTATAATCAATATTGGCCAATGAGTTAGCCAGTTAATATAGCCAACTGGGGTAGGTCACCTAGCACATGGATATGAAGAAGAATTTAGCGATTACCAGAACTGATTGAATTCACCTGACAAGAGGCTTATCAGAGAGTCACCATTATCCATCTGTAGGTCCAAGAAACAGTCTCAAGGCACTCAAGTTCCTGTTCTTTTCGAGGCTAAGATGTGAAAACCGATTGTAAAGGTGACACTTTTTAAGGAAAAACTAGCAGAATATGTCCCACATTTCATACATATCTCTATTGCCTTCAAAGGATATTAAAACCCAATACTGGGTAAGAGAGTTTGGTTTCCCGCGTAGGTGCACACCTCTGCACGTGGCTGTGCATTTTCTGTGGAAGCTAAGCAATTAGTCTTAGAATCTCTTTGGTTGTCAAGGGATGTACTTTTTTTTTGCTGATCTGAAAATATGTTTCCTTCTACAGGAGTATTTTCCATTTTTTTGAAGTTTTAAGTTAATTTTAATATATTTTCCTTTTATTAATTAATTCATGAAATAATTATTTACTACTTACCATGTTCCAGCCTCTGTGCTAGGTACTAGTAAGACATTGATGAATAAAATGAACACAATCCTTTTCCTTAGGGAATTTATACATATAAACATTTAACTCTACAAAGATTAAACATGTAATTATATAAAGCTTTACAATTACACATATAATTATATGAAGATTTGTAATTATATAGCCAGGCATGGTGACTTGCACCTGTAGTCCTACCTACTTGGGAGGCTGAGGTGGGAGGATCACCTGAGCCCATGAGGTCAAGGCTGCAGTACGTTATGCTCATGCCTGTGAGTAATCACTGCTCTCCAGCCTGGGCAACATAGTGAGATCCTATCTTTTAAAAATAAATAAATAAATATTTTAAATTTTATAACTGTCATTGATAAAACCTATAAAGAAAAAAATATATAATATGTTGGGGGTTTATCCTGATCTGGGGAGTGGGATAGAGAAGATTTCCTGGGGAACTGACATTTAAGTTGGGACTTGATCTATAGAGGGAGTTGGAGGGAGCCAAATAAATAGGAATGAGGGGATAAGGGGCTATAAAGTACATCCAAAGGGATTTTAAAGGAAGCGATGGTACAAGTTTTCACTTTGGAGAGCCATAGGAAGATTTGTGCAAGAAGAGATGGAAACTAAAGCAACAACAGTAGTATATTTATGGCTTTGTAATCAAAGTTGATGATATTGGATTTCACTGTAAGAGAAATGATAAGGATTTGAAGAATTTTAACCTGGAAAGTGAAATGGGTAGATCTGTGTTTTCAGCAACCTTTCAGGCTGACTGTTCTGTGGAGAATGGATAACAAGGAAGCAAATTGGAAACAGGGTTACCTTTTAGGGGATGATGATGCCTTGAATTCAAAAGTGGAAATGGGTGTGGAGATAAGTGAATGGATTTAAGAAACATTTGAGAGGTAGAAAGAGGTAGAATTGATAGAACTTTGTGATTAGTTGAAGAGCCCTTATAAACCTAGGGTGCGATGTGGTCTGGTTTTAGCACAGTATTGCATCAAAATAAATATTGTTTAAGCAGAAATATATAATTGAAAGCATTTCAGAGATTTAGGCTCTTGAGGAAACAGCAAATGCCTTGTTGGTATTATTATTTTTCTTTTTGATTTTTTGAGACAGGGTCTCATTCTCTTACCCAGGTTGGAGTGTAATGGCATGATCGTGGCTCACTGCAGCCTCAACCTCCCAGGCTCTGGTGATTCTCTCACCTCAGTCTCCTGAGTAGCTGGGACTACAGGTGCATGCCACTATGCCTGGATAATTTTTTTTTTGTTTTTTGTTTTTTTAGAAATGGGGTTTCACCATGTTGGCCAGGCTGGTCTTGAACTGCTGGGCTCAAGTGATCCACCTGCCTCAGCCTCTCAAAGTGCTGGGATTACAGGCTTGAGCCACCATGCCCTGCTGGTGGTATTATTTTTAATGCACAGCAAAACTTTTTTTAAGAATCTTCTTTGGCCATCTCTCTCATTCTCAATGCCTTTCATATACTTAGGAAGAAGCTAAAATACAAAACTCTCCCCTCCTTTCCTATGTGTGTTCTCAAACATTCCCTTGTATCCATCTGAAGCTCCTCATTCCTCAGCATTCTGCTCCTCATTCTACCTCAGCTCTTCATGATCAGGGTTTATCTAACCTTTCTGGCTTCTTAAAGCCTTCTCTCTTTGCTCAGTGTTCAGACTTTGCTCAAGAGAGAAGAGCCCCAAAACCAGTTCAGCAAGCAACAGGAGCATGGAGAGAGACTGCAGATATCTGACTGTTCTTGTCATTGTTTCTCTGCCACAGTTAAATGTGTTCTATGAAGAAGAGAAGTGGATATGTTCTAGCTTTGAGCAGATTAGTAGATGAGGGTCCATTTGTGGAGACAGGAAACATAGGAAAAGTGTTTTTGAGGAAAACTTGAGATCACGTAAACGTTTCGAGTCTAGGCTGCCTTTTAGATGGTCTAGAGACATTGTCCGGAGAATTGTGTGCCTGGAACCGCCTTGTTCTGGAGTGTGAGGCACTTGTTAAATTCTCAGGAATTGTAAACATGGGCATTGTTAAAAAGTGACTGTATAAATATATGATTAAATAAAAAATAATTGTTAAATATACAAATAAATAAAAAATAATTGTATAAATATACAATTAAATAAATTACATTGAAAACAAAGATAATAAATACTCAAAACTCATCTCTATCTACATTTTACTACTATCTGTGCTCTTAAAGTTACTTAAGTCTGCTGTGCCTGCATGGTGGAAATAGCATAAAATAACTTGCTACTGCACCTTCCTTGGCATCACTGATGTTAGACTGGTATCTGGAAATTGGCCATATTTGGAGTAAACTACAGAGATTGGCAAATACTATGAATCAAGGCCTTCTCTTCCCTCCTAAAAGCCAGCAGTTAAACATTTATCACCACATCTTATCCAAGAGACATCTGGATAAATGAATCTAAGCTCAGGAGACAAATTTGGGCTGGAGATACCACAGTGGGAGGCATAGACTTGATGTGGGGAGCTTCATGGGCTGGCGACGGGGTCCCATATCAAGAAAGACCCCATGATTGGTTTAATGCTCTGCTGTTGCTATCATCAAATTCTTAATTTTTGAATAAGAGGCCACACATTTTCATTTTACACTGGGTTAATATAGATGATAGGGAATTTTAGGCTGTTTGGGGAGGGGGTTACTTAATTGCCTTCTGTTCTACATAACAAGTATTTTATCTTACTCACCTATGTGGTAGCACATTTTCACAGATTTTTTCCCCCATCTATCCCTCATCCTGTGTATTTTCCACAACCAGCTCACAAAATTTCCCTTGTCTATTTCCTCCGTATATTGTTCTCTTTGGCCTTCTTTTGAAACTTGTTAACTTTTTTTTTTTTTAACTTTTATTTTAGGTTCGGGGTACATGTGCAGGTTTGTTATATAGGCAACCTGTGTCACGGGGGTTTGTTGTACAGATTATTTCATCGCCCAGGTACTAAGCCTAGTACTCAATGATTATTTTTTCTGCTCCTCTCCCTCCTTCCATGCTCCACCCTCAACTAGGCCCCAGTGTCTGTTGTTCCCTTCTTTGTGTCCATGAGTTTTCCTCATTTAGCTCCTACTTATATGTGCGGGTATTTGGTTTTATGTTCCTGCATTTGAAAACTGTTAACTTTCAAAGCATTAATGTATTACATGGCTTTAATAAAAGTGTTTCTTCAGAACAGAAATCTCGAAGGGAAAAAAATGTTTCTCTCCAGATTGCAATGTCCCACACATTCATCTTTCACAGTGCTACAACAGTGGTTACGGAGCTTGTGGAATAAGACAGAACTGGGTTTGAACTCTCTCCCTCTCTCTTTCGTTTTCTAATCCTTAGAACCTGCGAATGGGTTTGAACTCCTGTGTGTGACCCGAGGTAAATTTCTTTGATTTCTCTACCCTTCCGTTTCCTCATCTGAGGAAAGAATAATGTTTACCTCTGAAGGTTATTGTGAATATTAAATTAGATAACCTACATAAAGTGCCTTACATAATACCTGGTCCATGGTTATAGTGTTCAATTAATGGCAGTTATTCTTTTTATTCATACATGACGAGTTAGGAACACCCAGTAATTTGGACCTGACACATGGTAGAAAAGTCTTAGGAGGAATGATGGACACTGGCAGAGATGAGCTGCAAGATTTCGACTCTTTAAACATTTTCCTGGTGCCACAATATATATGTCCCAGACTGGACTGGACAAAGCGACTCTTTACTGGGGCTCTTACTATTCTCACAACTCCTCTCCCTTGTTATTCCTCAGACAGAGCTAACAATCTACACAAATAGCACAGATGTGGGCCCTTGGACAGCCAGCCAGACATTTAGCCTTCTTGCGGCAGTGAAAAATCCTTTCCCTGGCGTAAAGCTTGGCACAGCGTAGGCACTCAACATTTTTATTTTTATTTTTTTGGCATATGAAAATTTATTACTACAGTGTGTTCACTATTAAAATTTATGATCTTGGTCTTTCCTTCTTGCCTTTGTATAGGGCCAGAAGAGACACACTGGCTACTTTGACAACCTTAAAGCGGACTCCAGGAATATCACCAACAGCATGACCTTTGCGACCAAATCCAGCAACCAGAACTTCATGGTTTTCCTCAATAAAGTTCAAGCAAACGTCGTTGGGTACAAAGGCTGTGATTTTCTTGCCATTCTTGATCAGCTGGACCCTGACACACTTCCTAATGGCAGAATTTGGCTGTTTGGCTTCAACTCCTACTTTTTCCAGGACGATTCCTTTTGCATGAGAAGCACCTCCAAAAGGGCTGGCCTTCAGGGCTGTGCCCAAATGGGGGCGGCACTCAAAATTTTGTAGGTTTTCTTTTTCACCGCCATGGCCCCAACTAGTACAACTAGTACAGGGCCTGGCACACAGCAGGCGTCCATTTATTGAATGAGCGCATGATAATGTCACCTGTTTCTCCCTCTTCCTCCAAATCCCTGTTCTTCCGCCTCTGCCCGAGGCAGCCAGCATATCCCAGGGAGCCAGGCTCAAGCCAGGCCTGGTTCACCGACTCGCTCCCCGCGCTAGGCTGCGGTTGCTATGGAAACAGCGGGAAATAACAACTCCTTTCCCCCTGGGGTGAGGGAGGCCCGCTGAGGTGACAGCAGCTGGAGGAACAGCGTGAGCGACGCGAGGCCGCCGCAGAGTTCACCACTGTGCCACAGCCCCGCCCCCGCGCGGCCGGCGCCCGAACTCCCCTCCCCTCTCTAGCACGCGAGTGTCGGTAGGTACTACAGCGGAGGGCATCTCCCCGGCCCGCCTCCCCAACCAGGGCCCGGCTTGCGCGCTGCCTGCGGTGTTCACGTGATGCGCACCCGCGCTTCGCCGCCAGGCGGCGCTGATCATCGGGGAGGGGGTTAGGGGTCCTAGAGGCGCGAGTGTTCCCTCTGTTTCTCATTCATTCATTCACTTACATTTATTTTTCCCTTCCTTCCTTCCCTCCGTCCTTCCGGGATGAGCTATTGCTGTGTTGCTCAGGTTGGTCTCAAACTCCCAGGCTCAAGTGAGTCTCCTGCCTCAGTTTCCCAAAATCCTGGGATTACAGGCATGAGTCACCGTACCCGGACACACACACTCTCTCTCTCTCTCCTTTTTCAGACAGGGTCTTGCTGTGTCGCCCAGGCTGGAGTGCAGTGGCAAAATCATAGGTTACTGCAGCCTTGACCTCCTGGGCTCAAGTGATCCTCCCGCCTCAGCCTCCGAGATAGCTGGGTCCAAAGGCCCACACCATGCCCACCTATTTTTTTTTTTTTTTTTTTTTAATTATAGAGACTGGGTCAGGCTGGTCTCAAACTCCTTGCCTCAAGCGATCATAGGCGCGTTATAGAGACGGGGGTTTCCCTGTGTTTCCCAGGCTGGTCTAGAACTCCTGGTCTTAGGCAATCCTCCCGCCTCAGCCCCTCAAAGTACTGGAATTTGCAGGCGTAAGCCACCGCGCCTGGCTTTGCACATTTATCTTCCAGCAAAGAAAAACCTGGGCAACTACAGCCAGGAACTTAATTGCTTTAACTTGGGAGAAAGCAGGAGCTTGAGGGGTAAAGGTGCAAGAAGAGAGAAAAGAAAAATTAGGCTGTTTGGCAAGGGTAGCACAGATATGATGTAAGAAATTGGGTTTCACCATATTTGTGTGTGTGTGTGTGTGTGTGTGTGTGTGTGTGTGTGTGTGTGTGTGTGTGTGTCCTCCTCTCTCCTGCCCTCACTCGGCGTGCCTGCTCGAAGCCCCCGCGCGGTTCCTGCTCCTGCTCCGAGGAGGTCCACCTTCATTTTGCCGGTAGCTGGTGAACCAGGTGTGGTGCGCGCACTGCGGGCCCTGATTGGTTGTGCACGCCACGGTGAAAAACTTGAACGTCTACTCCGAGTCCTGCAGCTCCTAGTGTCTCCGCGGGGTGGACGCCAGGCGCACGGCCGTTACTTCTCTTTACCTGTGGATTCGTCAGTTTCTCGTTCGTTTCAGGAGGCGATCCCGCGCCCTGGGTGCTGTGAGGCCTCTGGGGAAGCGGAGGTGCCTCCCGGCGCGGAGCAGCGAGCTGAGGCTGTGGCCAGCGGGGAAGATGAGTGGCAGCAGCGCCAGGTCCAGCCACCTGTCTCAGCCCGTCGTGAAGAGCGTGCTTGTGTACCGCAACGGGGACCCCTTCTTCGCGGGGCGCCGCGTCGTCATCCATGAGAAGAAGGTGTCCAGCTTCGACGTCTTCCTGAAGGAGGTGACCGGCGGCGTTCAGGCACCCTTTGGGGCCGTCAGGAACATCTACACCCCGCGGACTGGCCACCGCATCCGGAAGCTAGACCAGATCCAGAGCGGGGGCAACTACGTGGCTGGAGGCCAGGAAGCCTTCAAGAAACTCAAGTGAGTCGGTCTTCCCCACCGCCCACCCATTTCAGGTGCCCTGTCGTGCGGGCTTGATATGAGGAAATGCAGATCCTTACCCCGCCACACCTCAGTGGTTGAGGGGCTGTGACTTCTCGGTGTGACTGATGCCACTCAAAACTCTCGTTGCAGTTGGGGGGCAGAGATTGACACTGTGACTGGAGAAGGAATTTCACTTGGGTAACAGTAGGAGTAAACTTAAAATTTGTGTATAAACAACAGGAATCTTAAAAAAAAAATTATCCTTGCAAAGGTTAGTGACCAAACTGATACTTTTGCGTTTTCTGTTCAGTTTTTTCTTTCCTTTTCCTTATTTTTTTTTCTTGGAACTCCATCCTTTTAATTTAAATAAACATTCTTAAAAACCACTTCCAAGTGTTGGACACTATATTGTCACCAGAGGAGAAAATTGCTCTGCATTTCCCATACCGTTTAAATTATTTCAACCTTTCATTCCAAGTAGAATTGACATCACTTACTTTTGTGACCCTGCTCCACCCCCTGTATGTTTATGCTGTTAGTGTAATGCAGGAAGAGTTTACTGGCTGACTGTATTTGTCGACTGTCTGTCTCCAGCAACGGTCCTTATTCCCAGTTCTTGAGTTCACTCATAGTAAGTGTTCAGTGAATTAGGAAACCCTCAATTGAGGGAACAAAGATGAGCAAGGCATGATTCCTTGTCTTTAGGAGCTTTCAATCTAACTGGACTACCTGCATACTAACAATTTTAATGCAAGGTACAAAGAGATACGTGCAATTAGAAAAATAAGGTTATGTGTGAATTGTGAGTTGAGAGTTGGTTGGGGTGGGAATTATAGGACAGAATTTTACGTTCCATTTTTTTTTTTACAGCTTTATTGAGATAGAGTTATCACAGCATAAAATCCAACCATTTCATTGGCTTTCAGCGTATTCAGAGTTGTGTAGCCATCACCACCAACTAATTGTAGTTTATTTCCAGCCCTCCCGCCAAAACATTTATACCTCCCAGGTTCCTCTTTCCCCTGTCATCTGGTAGCCACTAATCTATTTTCTGAATCTATGGGTTTGTCTATTCTGGACATATCATATAAATGGAATCATACTATATATGGTCTTTATGTCTGGCTTATTTCACTTAACTGTAATATTTTCAAGGTTCATCCATGTTGTAGCATGCATCAGTACTTCATTCTTTTTATTGTCGAATCATGATTTGGGTATACTACCTTTTACATCCACGCTTATCCATTAATCACTTGATGTATATTTGGGCTGTTTCACATTTTAGCTATTATGAATAATGCATCTATGAATATTTGTGTATAAGTTATCATTTCTCTTTGGTGTATACCTAAGAGTGAAATTGCTGGATCATATGGTAACTCTGTATTCCATAGTTTAATAGAACATTTTAATTGAAATTCATCTTGGGCCCCAGGATAGCAAAAAGCCTTGACCATAAATCTAAGCTTATGAGTTCATAAGCATTATTGGATTCTTAATAATTAAAATTCAAATAAAGATTTTTAACTACATAGAAATATTTTTCAAAATATCACTAAAGTTCTTGAATGTAATCCATCCTCACCTATATTTGTTTAAATTGAGTTCTAGGTATTCTATTATACTTTTTGTTATGACAGACATTCTTTTCATGGAAAGTGAGGGATATATTTGGATTTATCCCCCCCTCCGCCGAAGCTTCTTAAGCATGCTTTGTTAAACTTCATAAAAAAGGGCTAAATGAAACTGCATGCTTAAAATAAACTTAAAATCAGGAGACTGAAGACTTAGTTGCTGATCAATTCTGTGTCCTTGGACAAGTCACTTGACTCAGCTAGTCAGTTTTTTAATACAGAAAAGGTACATAACCATTTGTACCACATAGGGCTGTGATAAAAGTAAATGCTATAGGTGAGTGTGTTTTGTAAACACCAAGTGTTACATAAATGTAAGACACCTCTATGACCAGTTCCTTTTGTTACATACTTTATTTTTTATTAAATGTTTCCATATAAAGCAATATCATGGAAATGAAAATCTGGTTCAGAATCTCTGAACGGTTCAAAGTTGTAGACTCCTTTTACAATTCATGTTCTTTTGTTTATTTGGTCCTACCAACTCACAAGATTAAAAAAAAAACGATACAGTTCCACACCAAATAGAAAGTGTACTCAAATCTCTCTAAGAGATTTGCATGTTATTTTTGCTTTTAGTTTATACATAAAAAACTGAATTTGTTATAACAGTGCCCATGGTTAGGTTTCCATGCTGACAGATGACTATTTTATTTGTGTTAAAGAAGTAGTATCTATGATTATAATGATAGAAGCCAAGAATACTTGAATGTTGAATGTATTTGAAACTTAGCACTTGTAAGTTTATGTAATGAATGGAGAAACTGTCAGAACAAAAGAAAGCCCAAATGATGTTAAGGATGATTCGTGGGCTTTCATTTAGACCCCAAATGATGTTGGGAAAGACAGCAACATCTTTTTCAAGTGGAACTGATCAAATCTCTGCTTGAATTGCTTTCACTTACATTTTTCTAATATTTTTGAAATGATAACTAAACGTCAGGTAGCTATTAAACCCTTATTTATTTCAAATGTGAGACCACACATTCAAAACCTTTATTTTACAGCAGAGAATTCTAGAGATTATTTTCCCCAAAACTTTCCCAGTGCATTGTTGGAAGTTGACTCTACAGCATTAATCTTGTAGATCTGAAACCACTTTCCTGCACATGACAGAATATTTTGTTATTATGTCAAAACTCAGCCCCTGCAGGTCCACAAAAGACCCATTTTGTTGCTGAGATGGAGTGTTTGCACTGTTTTAAAATATATGACTACTTTTATATAGGGGCAATGTATGACAATTTCTGGATGTATCAATTAACTAAAGTATTTTATCCAAAAAGGCAAACAGCAACAATAAAAACATTTCAATAGCCAAAATTAATTCTAACATAAGCTTTTTTGGGGACAAGTTGGCAATTATAGTAGTTGGGGTAAAGGGTCAATCTATTATTATAAATTAAATGTTAGGTTTATATTTTTAATATTAAAATGTTTATTTAGCACATTTTATGTATGAAGCACAGTTTAGGGACCATTTAAAACTGGAACCGCATCACAGTGATATTATACGTGAAGTTGACAAAGGTAACAATTTCAGGTTGTGCTTATGCGACAGCTAAAGAATGATTACTGTCAATATCTAGAGCAAATAGTAATGGAGTAATAGGGGTCTCCAGAGGTTAATTAGTCCACCCATCTGTTTCTGAGCTGAACCAATTACCAAAGTCATCCCACATGACTGAGTGTTTTTGTATCATTAAGGTGCTCTCATAGAGAAAATAATTTCTCAGCCTTTCCCAGTTGTTACCTGAATGCATGCTATCAGTACTTCCTTTGACCTAAAGCCTGTATTTAATGGAACAGTTAAGCAGCTTTGCACATAAGCCACTCTTTTAAAAAATCAGATCTGTAAGAATATAGCGTATATAGTAAGCAGCTAACTACTAAGAGGGAAAAATGTTCCCTAATAGATGTATGTATTTCTAAGACTTTCCTTCTCTTGAAGTTTAGGGTAGACATGTGTCAGCTCTGGTTGGTGGCACTGCAAGCAGTTTTTACTATTGTAATTGCTTTTAATTAGTAGCTATTTGTGTTTGCTTTAAGGTTGAGTATTTCCTATGAATTGCTTTATTTTTAAATGATTTTTTAAAACAAATTACTGACTTAAAGTCTGTAAAAGCAACTCTTATTGTTTGTTTGTTTTTTCCTCAGTTACTTGGACATAGGAGAAATCAAGAAAAGACCAATGGAAGTTGTTAATACAGAGGTAATGCAAATATTATTTTGAAGATTCAAATAAACAATGGTGCCATTTGTTTCTTTTGGTGTGTCTTAGAGATTTGGTCGGCATTCTACTTTGATGAGTTCTCTAATGTAAAGAAACGGGACATTATGTGTTTTAAGGCAAAGATAATTCTTTCTTTGAATCACTGTCAGAAATGAAAAGACTGGGTAGGTGTTCTAAGATGTGCAGGATATGTCAAGATTAGACAAAACATGTTTTTCTCTTTTCTAGCTACATGTTCTCTGATTGAAATCCACGGGAAGGTTCCCTGTCAAGTGAGAAGATTCTGAGCATTGTTAGATAAATCTTTACCAAAGCTACATCCTCATCCTAATGTGCCTCTGATAACTCAGTGTTTGAAATAGCCAGCGTCACTCTGACTGCCCCTGAGGCTTTCTAAGAAGATGAGTAGATGTCATGTTGGATGCTTGGTGACATCAGGAAAACACCTGTGTTTTAGCTTCTATCAAAGTGCAAGTGAAGCATTGTTCCTAAAAGCTTATGTGAAGGTTGGAAAAGGAGCTTGTGAAATATTCAGAATACCACATTCCACACATAGCTTCTGAAACCGGTGGAGTTTTAGGTATTCTGTAGGATGTATGCTTTAGTTTGTGAATGAAAAAATTAGATTAAAAATAAAGTCAGGGCCACAGCTTGAGACAGGGAAAATGGTAGTTAGATCCAGAACAGGCCTGTGTTCACCAGCCCAGACAGCCACTCTTCCCATTCAGACCCCAAATAAACACGTGCTCCCAATGGGTAAGTTCTGCCAATGAAGAAATGGCCAACAGAAAAGTAGTTTTCCTCACTTGCAGTCCAGAGCCCTGGAGGGACTCTCCTCAATACTCACCATTTCCTCTCACACCATGTTTGTGCCTAATAGGACCAAATAGGCCCCTCTAGAAAAAATATTGCATAAGAAAAAAATTCTAATTGTACAGTATTTGAAGAATATGAGGTTAAATTCATTATTCAAATAATCTGTAGAAAGAGGTACCCTTCCCAGACATCATTTAACATAATTAATATATATATATTTTTTATTTTCAGTGCATCAAACTGATTAGTCATGAAAGTGATAGGCTTTGCAGCTTCAAGTAGACAAAGGTATACATTTACGATATAGCTAAAGAATGACCGCCAGTTGATTGCTGTCTCAAGTAGAGTAGTAATAAAGGACACTTCTGTGAATTTGTTCTGGATGGGATTCTGATGAAAGGATACACACCTGTTTAAAGTATGCTACCTTGCATGAAATGGGTGATGGAACCTGGACTTCTGCAATAGAATTTGAGATGTGTGAATTTCCAAAAAATGTGAGCACAGTATATTTACTCTGGATTCCAGTGTCTTTGCTGAAGATATTATCCCTAGTAAAGGACAACAGGTGTGCAATAGACTTATCGAATATACTTTTTCTTAATATGTGTATATATATATTTATAAATATATATATATTATATATATATATTTTTTGAGACAGGGTCTCCCTCTGTCTCCCAGGCTGGAGTGCAGTGGCTCGATTTCTGCTCACTGCAACCTTCCCCTCCAGGGTTTAAGGGATTCTTCTGCCTCAACCTCCTGAGTAGCTGGGATTATAGGCATGTGCCACCACACCCTGCTAATTTTTTTGTTTTTAGTAGAGATGGGGTTTCAGCATGTTGGTCAGGCTGGTCTCGAACTCCTGACCTCATGATCCGCCCGCCTCAGCCTCCCAAAGTGCTAGGATTACAGGCTCATGCCCAGCCTTAAAATAGTGTTTTTAATAATAGAAGCAGTCACAGAAACTCCAGTTCATTTAATTTGCTTATTGTTCTTCCACTTTGGGGACAGTAACCATTGTTTCTCTTTACTTTGCATTTACTCATGAGCCAACATACAAGATCCTTATTTATGGATGCACACTTTACCTGTGAAAAACCTACTCCTTGTCTCCAAATAAAAGACTGCATTTCTTTTATCCTGTTGCCTACTGGTGACTCTCTCCCACTTACTCCTTTCCTCTTACTGCCCTGCTGTGGTCTTTTATTTCCTCTCAGTCCTTACCCATAAACCCTTCCAAAGGAGATGAAAAGAGAGAAGTAGAAGAAATTGCGAAATGCAAAGGAGATGGGAAAAGGTGATGAGAAACTGCTTGTCCATGTTCTTTCCCGCATCTTCCATGCACTCATGCCCAGCTTTCCCACTTGTTCGCAGGAGTCCTGTCTCCCACCGTGCCCTCCTGTTGTAAACTTTCCTCCAGGTCTGGACAAGCAGTGTGTTCACTTCCCTCACTTCACATGTCCAGTCTGGAGATACCTTCCTCCCCAAAGTTCGCACCATGACCTTCACCCTCCGAAGTCTGCTTTGAGCAAAGGCAGCCCCTACTTTCATTGCCAGAAAGGAAGGTTTTTGGGTTCTTGGCATCTAAAAAGCAAACTGTGAGAGCGTTTTTCTTCTGGAAATAACACTTTGACTCTGGATTCTATGGTATTTTTACTGCTGTTTTAGGTAGAGCATGAGTGGAAAAGAGTTTTGTAGGCTGCCCTGAGAACCTAACTATGGTGTGTGATTTTTAGTATGGGAAATTACCTTTCTCTTTCTCACAACTTAATTATAATCAAACTTTTGGAGTTCAACAAGTTGATAAGTTGGAGGATGATCTATGCTCAAAATTCAAGAACAGACTTGGTAGAACACTGGCATTTCACAAAAATTATAGATCTTTAAAAATCTTAGGTGGGTATTTCCTTTCAACATCAACGTATTGAGAAAAGACTGCACATCTTGTTAAGTGCTATTGAGGATAAGCATTCTTTGGAGTATGATGATATATAAAGGGAGATCAATAGAGAATTATTTTTGAGGTGGATTTAGAACATGAATACTTCATGAAATTGGAAGGTTAAGAGTTGTTTTATGTGGTGAGTTTCAGTGCTGTAGTAGCACAAAAAAAATTCAAAATGTGTCATTACAAGGGATGAGTAAAATAACTTATTCACTAAAATGGGGGGCATTTCCCTCAAATCTAAGGCAATTTCATAGAGTTTGAGTTTTCAGTGATGGGCCTGCATAATAAAAGTCACCACCCCAGTATACACAATTCAGCTTTTCCGGTTACCTAAAACATACTAATTCGAATTATTCCGAGTACATTTTACATGGAAAGACCTTGGCATTTCAATGGGGTCATGCAGAGCGCGTGGCACTGGGTCCTACCCACTGTGGCTGGGACACCCTTTCAGTGAGTGCTGGGAGTTATTCCTTCTCTTTTTCCAGAGCAGCTCACCCAAGACCATGGGTATGATCTGTGGCTCTTACGCAGTGAATAATTTAGACAAGATAGCACCTGCTTACTGACCGCAGGTCATGCTAACCAGAATGTGTGTGTCACCTCGACATTGGAAATTCTTTTGTGGTTTGTGTCATTGCTTGCTTGTTCCATGAGGCTCATCTTTGAAGCAACACTTAAAGGACAGCCAGTGCTATTCCTCTTCCTCTTTATGGCCTCATCATGGGGTCACGGAAAGGCAGAACTGTAATGGACCTAACCCAAAAGAAGCATAGGGTCCTGTTTGGTGAACACTTTGCACAGCAGGAAGTAATGGGTTGGAGCGGGGGAATAAAGAGACAGAAGAATAAAAGAAAGAGGAATAAGATGACTGTGTGGTTGTCTGCACCCACCTCAGAGTCAGGGCACCATATGGGCTCAGAGCAGCCTATCCCTGTCTCTCTACACACAAGTCCAGCTTTTACTAATATCTAAATAAACAGATCTCCTAGATTGCCCTTGTACTCTTTTTTCTGCTCTTGAGTCATTTTGTATAACTATATTTTCATTTTTCTTCCCACTTTCCCTGTGTCAGTGGTGGTTCGATGAAGACAGTTTTCTTAGCTTCTGACCTTGGTAACTCATCTCCTTGTATTTATGACTTCCCAATCCTCTCTTTGCTTCCTCCTCTCACACTCTCAGTCCAGTTTCACATCTCATCTATCTTCTAAGTCCCAAGTTGATTTACCAGCTCCTTTCTTTCCTCTGTACCTTAAGCAGCCTGTGGGAGTCCTCTGTCCTCATGCAGTGGAGACCTCTGATTCTGCATGTGTGATGCCTTTACCAGCACTTACTCTTGCCCCTACCCTTTTGCTTTACTGAATGTGATTTCTGCTTCCTCTCTTCTTGTTTTCCTACCTTGTCCTCTTTGCTTCCATGTTACTGAATGCCTATACAATGAAGTGGGCAGAGTAAGCAAAATGAACAAGACATGCATGACCTCTCACCTCCGGGAATTTATAGTCTTGCTGAAAAGACAGACGAGCATCTCTAGTACCACATAATAAGTGATTCAATTTAGTAGATGTAGTTTGCATTGAGACATTTAGTTCAAGTGCTTCTGGCTTTATCATGTTGCAGCAAAGCCATCTGTGGACGCTTCACATGGAAGTGTCCTTCTGCTTTGACCTGGCGTTGGAGATCTCACTGTTCATTCCTGTACCTCATGTCTCATCTGTGTAGTGCGTCCTTCATATAATGACATTCTTTTTTTTTTTCCATAACCATTCAAGGTGGAATTAATGACGTTATTAAATGATCTTCAGAGTACAAATCTGTTTTACTGTGTAAAGGGCTTTGGTACACATTATATACAGAGGGGAAGAGCAGGCAGCTTGACTTCGGAGCACTTATGATGGGCTGGGAACTGTGCTAGGCACTAGGCATAAAATGGATACTTCCCTGCCCTTGCTCTTTGGGAGTTCAGGGTGTAGGAGAAGAGACAGAGAAGTAAACCAGCTATGATGATCTAGTGGCAGGTGGCTGTGCTAGAGGTGTGCTCAGAGGACCAAGGAAGTGCAGATTGGATTAGGGCTGTAGGTCAGCGAGTTTGAAATGGTTTAAACTATAATAGTCTCTTTGGTTTTTTGGCCTGTTTCTCTTAGATCAAAGTTTTGAGAAAGTCTCCTACAACTTGATTGAAGGCGTTATTTAATAATTATATCTGTACAAG